TCCTCTTTGTTTCAGCTGCGCACAGCTTTATGACAGCCAAAGGTATTCCACATTACGATCGAGCGGCTCGTATCATTTTAAAGGACTACGTCAGAGTAAGACTTCTATAATGAAATTTTTTACATTTATTATTATTTTATATTAACTTTATCAGCTTTGATTTGTCAATCCTATTCTCTCATTTCAACCTTTAGAGTGCGATGTTATAAACCATGGTAGTTTAATTGAAGATATGTAGACCAAGATGGTGTGGCCTCTGGTATAGTCGCAGTCTCCTTTCGATTTATAGAAGTGGCTTGATCTCGTTGCCGCAACAACAATACCAACTTGCGTCAACGAGGTCAACCCACATCCATGGTAGTTTACATTATTATGAACCGAAAATTTCTTTTCTTGTCAACATTACAATTACATATACATATATTAGTTTTTTGCATCCTCTAGAGATCATATTATTCAAGAGACATACCTTTTCCCATCATACCTTATTCCAGATACCTAGGATATTCATTAGAGTAAATCCTTATTTTTTATTTTTCTTATTATGCCTTATGATAAGGTTTACAGTCGTCATATTATCGAATTTAGTTAGAGATTTAAACTCTTTATAACTAATTGAAGTTATTAAGACAAAGCATGTGTGCTTTTATCTTTTGGTTTCAATCTCCTCTCGTTGTATAGTAATGGTTTGACTTAGTTTTCGCAGCTCGATCGTATTTTCAGGTCAGCCTAGATAAGCGCTCCTTTCTAGAATTTTCACTGCCATCCTCAGTACGTCTTGCTAATAGCACCAACTCGTCAAAGCCACAATTGGAGTCCATCCCTTGACCAATATTTTGTCGAACTATTGTGCTGCCTACTGTCGGGATACATCTTATCATGGATAGACTTTACTTGTCTTGGACGAATTTTGGCTTGGTGCTAAGATGGGCAAGGCCTATTAACGATGCTTGCGAAACGTCTACTGTCCGACGTTCAAAAATATCGTGACTACTGGGGTACAGGACTGTGGTTAAAGTGGTTACGAATAATCCCTTAATAGTTTGTTGTTAGTGTACCTTTCATTTTGTTTGAAGAGTTAAGTGGAAAGGATTTGTAATTTGGCCTCATCGGAAGTTTAAGAGGGATTGTTTTGGAGCTGTGGCTGGGTTTGTGAGAGCAAGACATCAATTACTAAGAAAACGATCTAATTCCTTTAGGACCAATTCAGGCAAATCTTCAGTCACAGCTCCAAGGCACTCTTAATTCAGCTTTCGGTGAGTCCATCTTAGAAAACTCTTCCACTCTTCTTTTCAAACGAAATGTAAGGTACTCCCACATCAATCTAAGAAGAGATTTTTCGTAGCCAAGTTTTCATACATACCTACGTAGTGTCTAGATTGATTTTAAATATTGTACTATGCAAAACATGTCTTAAATGAAATACAAAAATAATATGATAAAAAAAGCCCCACACTTTACTCTTATAATTTAATTTTTGGTTTATCCAATTTAGATATTGAAGATATTGTCTCATTCTATGGAATTCTTTAGAAATTCAGTTATATGCGTAATTGCATGATTTATTATGTATCCTTTTCTTTTATGATCAGTTATTACTTGTATTAACTGCCTTAATCTATACCTCATTTAATCAACTTATATTGTTTCAAATCTCGCATTCAATGATAATTTGGACTTTTCTCATATAGAAATATGACCAATTCTTATACTTCATTTTTTGTTCTTTAAAATAACGTTTTTGTTCTTATTCTTTCCTCTTGTTATTTTCAGGGTCGTCTTCGATACTGCCACCCACCTCCAGGCGTGAGTCTGGATGATTATCGTCTCGCCGGTGTCCTTATTGACTCTTCACTACTCTCTTTGTGTAAACCTGGTATTTCTCCCGGTACCGATATTTCCATCCTTCCAAGAAGAATCAATAGTCCTTCATCATCAACCATTGATGTTTCAACCCCTAGCCTTGTTGCAGAGTCAGTCACTGAAGTCAAATCTTCACCAGATCACTTGGCATGTCTTGCTGCTTCTTTACATATTGAGGTTACTGACCTCTGTCATCTTCCTAACGATAAACTACATACTCTGCTTATAAGCCGTCACAAGGTTTCTAAGCCACTTCTAGGTCAGGAAAAAGGAGACCTTGATGAGGTGAGAGGTAGATTTTTCCTTTTAAAAGGACTTATTTGCGTAGCAGAATTTGTGATTAAATTCTGTCAATATTTTTTGTATCTAAATAGATTTTCAAAAGTCTCCAGCATATTTTTTACTTTTTTCATTTAGGGAAAATAATAACCATCTTTACTACATTTCAATCTTGCTTAACCACTCAGTTTTTGGTAGCATATGTAATTTAGTCTTACAGACAGTGCGCCTAGGCTTTGGCTACAAAGCTTTCAGATATCAGTCATCTTCTCCACAGCCCATCTCTATGATTAACCTGTGTTCTCTTAGCAAACTGTGAAAGTATATCCCTATTCTGCTGCATCTCGAATGTATTTGTAGTCAAATTGGCTCCGATGTACTAGCATCAATTGCTAATTTCTGTGGCGATTGTGATTATTTGGGGCAAACTGAGATGCAGCAATACAAACAAAAAGGGGACGAACGGATCAAGGACATATCGTTAATCAGAGGAAAATGGATCACAAAGATTAAGCAAGTGAGTCAGATTAAAAAAATGAAGTTAAGACGTTTTCAGTGAATGCTGCCTGTACAACGAGGACATTGGGAACCTGACGTTCACAGGAATAGGGAGACAAATAGTCGCAATGGTCACGCGAATTTGGCATTATGGCCTTCAATAAAGTTGCCTTATCATTTACTTCTTATTGCACATTCTCTTTGCGAGCTGGCTATGTCTAAGGTCTTGTCCCATTGGTTTTATTTTTCATTTATTTTTAGGAGACAATTTAATTTGTAACGCAATTTTGCGTTAATTTATTTAGATGAGAATATTAAACATGATCTATCTTAACATATTGAATTGAAGGAATGATTTATTTGCGCCCATAAGTTATGTAGAAAAAATGCTAGTTTATTTAAGCGACACTGACACATATTCCTTTATTGAGAGATCCAACAGAAAGACTTAAGTCTAGGCTAAAAGATGCCTTAGGTATGCCTTAGTAACAGTGAAATGGAGAAGTGGAAAATGAATTAACTATTCCAGACAGATGCAAGTGACCCCAGGGCTTACGGTGTTCCTAAGGTTCACAAGGAAGGTGTTCCTCTAAGATTAATTGTAAATAATAAAGGAAGCGTGATGCATAAAATCTAACGTTTTTAATGTGTAAAATTTTTGGCTATATTCAGTTAAAAATTCTTATGATTTTGTGTAATTGATTGATCAGTGGACACTTTCAAAAAAGAAGATAGGCTAGTAACTTTTGATGTTGTATCTATGTACGCAAAGATTTCTATTCAAGGAGCTAATCAAGCTCGGGTACAAATTCTGAAGGGGCATCGAGAGATAACACAAGGAATAAGGTTGAGTGTAGCTTCCATAATAAGCCTTATTATTCTAGCCATGAGTAGCAAATATTTTACCTTTGAAGGCAAGATATACCAACAAACGCAAGGGTTAGCGATGGGATCTTGTCTGATTCCCATATTGGCAAGACTGGAGGAACACTTCTTGCAAGAGGAAATACTAACCCCCGAATTGTTGGTGACAAATAGTAATCTCCAAATATGGATAACTATTTTGTCATCTGACCTCATGGTAAGTAAAGTTTAGATAATTGAAGATATGAAGACCAAGATGTTGTGGCCTCTGGTATGGTCGCAGTCTGCTTTCAATTTATATAAATGGGTTGACCTCGTTATTGCAACTTGGTCTTGTCAGGGCGACTTAGTAGAACGCACCTAGTCCGAAGTCGTCTGCCATAGTAGTTGTCATGATTCCCACCATCAAAGAGTGGACTTGGTACATTCTAAAATGTTTCGCCGGCATCGTAGTCGACATCATCAGTAAGACTTGTCTCTGACAAGTTCGTAGCTTGGTGCGGCGAATCGAAAAACTTACTGTGATGTTGACTACGATGCCGGCGAAACGTTTGAGAAAGTACCAAGTACACTGTCTTATGCTGAGAGTTATGACAACTACTACGGCAGACGACTTCGGACTAGGTGCCTTCTACTAAGTCCCTCTGGCAACAAGACCAAGTTGCGACGACGAGGTCAGCCCACTTCTAAAGTTTAGATAGTTTCATACTTCACTCAGTAACATTTGATTCACAATGGGAATGGAAGAGAATACATCCTTTCCCTTTCTGGATTTTCTCATCATAAGATAAGGCAAGTTATGAAGAGATGTTTGTATGAAGCCAACATATATTGGCTCTGCTTAATTTTCTTTTCAACCATAGTTATAAAACTAAGGTTGGAATTTTGAAGTCAATGATTATCAGTGTGAGGTTAGCTGATAGCAAACAACTGACTAGAGTTGGAATGGTTGGGAAATTTATTCCTGGAAAATAATTATCCTTTGGGCCTTATTCAGAATAACATTTCTCTACTAAGAAATAAATTTTCAGACGGAGACAATTTAGTCAAAGATAGACAAGCTGAGACCTTTTTTAATGTCCTCATTTTACCATTAGATCTTCTTTCAAAAAAGATAGGCGAATTAGTAAGTAAGTGGGGGGTTGAAACAGTGCTTAAAGAAACCCTCACTTTCTTATGTTATGCCATTTTTTTTAAAGATAAATATAATTCATCGAGATCCAGCTGCTACAATATTGTTTGCTAATGTTGTTGATCTTAAGTTGGTGAGACATCCCGACCTATTCAATAAAGATTGGAGAACACAAAAATGCTTGTAAATGAAGTTGGGTCCAGCAGTAAGAAGTAGCTGAACATATAATAGAAGGTGGACATGATATATAATGGTCTTAAACGAATAGGTTTGCTGATTATAATACGTCTGCAGTTAGAATAAAGATAAGAGAGGCTATTGTAATTAATAGATCAGGAAATGTGAGGAACTGTGGTAGACAGTTGATTAAGAACTAATTAGGCTTGATTGATAGATTGAAGGAGGGAGAGGGTGTTGAACCGCCATCGAAAAAAAGGCGACTTAACTGGTCTGCTCAGTGATGATTTTAACTTCACTCACTTATCCAATATTAGATTAAGCTTATCATTCAAACCAGACTTACGAGATTACGCAGACCCAGGCACGCCTTTACTTGGGTTGTAAATGTTAATAGCTCCAGACGGAGAGGTTAGGATAGGTGGTTTAGTAACCTGGCTTACATGCTTATATCTTATTATCTCAACCATAATGCTTAGGGACTTAGATACTTTCGGCCATGGCTTTTTCTTGGGTCATTAAGTCTTGATGACTAGAGCCTGACATTAGCCTTTTGATCATTCTTATTTAGGACCGGTATTACGTATAGACGTCAACACACACACACACATAATCGAGCAAAAGTAGCAGGACCAGTATTAAATATAATTAACCAATTTTTAAATATTTTTTTGCTTAATTGTTTATATATAATAGGTAAGATAGAGCTGGATAGTATTATTGCCCTAGTGTTAATGTGAGACTTTTACAGGAATGAGATCCAGCTCTGGTGATGTCCATCATATGATGGATTAAAGCTCAGCCCGTTTTCACATGAAACGAAGGATAAGCTCTCGTGGACTGCGTCAACCAGAACGTCGTATAAAAGCCAAACGGATGCAGTACAACGGGATTCAGCCGTCCTATTCTGGTGAGATCGATCTGCGAATCCCTTTATGCACTTTCTTACGAAATGGAAGTCCCCTCAACAATGTTATCTCAGGAGATTCATCCAAACCCAGTTTCTCTTCGTATATATAAATTTTACTATTCTTTATGCCTAGAATATCTTATTTAGGATCAGCAGTCTAGGCTTAGTCTGCTCACATCTACATTTCAAATCCTGAATCGCTATCTCATATGCTAACACTAGTATTCTTAACAGCATACATTCAGAATATAGGCCAAGTCTTGGGTAAAGCAGGCTTTTTGGGCTTTATTAATTTCTTAGATTCCTTTATTCCGTTTGCCGACCAGTGTCTAGATCATCTGAAAATCTCTATTTCTAATTATATGAAGCGCTGGTTGATTGGTGCTTTAGGCTCACTCAATTGACTGAACTCAAATATAACCAGTATTTAAACACACTGGAGATTAGGGGTTGAGTGAAATTTTATGCAGAACGCAAGTTTTATTAGTTTATCTTGAAAGATAAAATGAGTGTGTAAAGTTGTAATTCTCTATCTGCCCATTTTTAGCAATAAACGCGGTTGACAATTTTGGCGTGCATGTTGTGGCGAGATTGCTCCTACGTTCTACGGTACTTTAACGGAAAAATTACCACAATCCTCGATTATTTTACTGAATAAATCTCAAGTGCAGTCTCAATCAGAGTTTTGCTTACCTCTGCAGGAATATTCGTTCAATTTTTTATATAGATTTATGATAAGCATACACTGGCCTATTGTGAATTTGATTGTGATAGGTTAGACATCGCCTTATCTTTTCTTTATCTATGCTATCCCAAAAATAATTAATTTTATTATCTAGTATTCTTCCTTTCCTATAATTATTTCTTAATTTACCTATATTTCCTATGTTCATTCCCTTCAGATAGATCGATCTATGTCATTCGGATATGGCTACAAGTCTAAGCAATTTGTTACTCTCCGACTCAGTGATTCTAATGAGAAAGAGAGAATATCTACTCAGATGACGGATGAAGTTGGTGTGCATTTGGAAAACGATGATAATGAAGGTTCATATGCTCCCTCCACTTGCTCCTGGGAGACGGCCTCTACCTCAGCTTCCTCAAATCTGGTCTCGGGTCGAACACCAGTAGATTTCTCTGTGGATGACGAAAGGCCTTCGCGCATGTTCTCCAACTACAAGAAGTTAAACAATCTTCATCGGCCAGCCAAGACTTGTGGTGGCAACCCAGTAAACACAATAAAAAAAGGAAAGAAAAAGGAGAAACTAAGACGCGTTTTTGCCCATCTGGATATTCATGAAAATACCTAAGAATGACTTGAGGAAATAAAAGCTTGCCAATCCGATAGAGAAAATTTAATTTTCTCAATGTTGTTGTTTGATGAAGTTATTTACGCCTAAATTTCCCTTATCCTTATCTTTTATTTATCATTCCCAATACATTTTTATTCTAAATAACACTTTTTTCTTCAAAATGTGGAATGTGCGGTTTTGTTGTCTTATTTCGTTTTGAGTTTACATAATTGGGTTATTATCTGTTACAATAGGGTATTTCCTTATACTATCCCTATTACTACATATTTTCCTGAAAAAATGGGTTATTTCGTATTTAACTAGATCTTTTTTTAATGACTAAATCCTAAAAAAGCTTTATCATATTCCTTAGTGTAATGAACTATTATATCGAAAAACAACTATGAATTACAGATAAATAATATGTTTTAGACTGCCATCGGCTCGATCCCAACATAAGCTTTTTTACTTATTTCATAATTCTACTTCA